TTTCTTAAATACTTATCTATCTTTTTATTATAAGCTAAGATTACTTTAAATTACTTATAATCTTAATACTTCTTCTTTTATAAATTATAACTAATTTATTATATTTTTAATATATTTAACTATATATTTAAGCTTTTTTTTACTAAGACTAAATAGTATTTTAAAACTTATTATTATTATTAAAGAGTTTAAAGTTTTTATTATATATATTTTTTTTATCTTAAGAAGTTTTTTTTATAAAATAATAAAATATATTTTTTAAATAAATTAATAAATATTAAAAGCTTTAATAATAATAGTTTTAATAATAATAATAATAATAAAAGAAATAGTTTTAATAATATAGATATTAAATATATTATATTATAAAAAAATAATAAAAAGTATTATAATATATATATTATAAATTATAATAAATCTAAATAAAGTAAGTTTTAAAGAGATTTTCTATAAATAATTAGCTTTTTTTATATTAATTTATTTTCAGTAGTACTAAGAAAAAAAATAGATTCTTATTTTAGTAATTTTTCTTAAACATTTAATTTTATATAATAGTTATATATTAATAATTCTTAGTACTTTAAAAGTCTTACTAAAATATATTATATAAAGCTTTTTTAGCTAATATAAAGCTCTTATCTAGATAGTATTACTTATAATAATATATATTAAATTAATTATAAAATCTAAGCTAAATAGATTATACTACTAAATTACTAAGATCTTTTATAGGTTAGAGTAAACAGAATTACTATCCTTAACCTCTATAGTTAGCCTAAGGTTAAGAGTATACTTTAAGTCCTAGAAGGTTAGGCTCTACTAGAGAACTACGTAGTCGCTAGCGATATAAACACCTTCTACACCTCCTAGCAGGCAGACCGACCAGCCTCGCAAGATAGGAACCGCGTCCACGAATAGACGGATAGACACGACTTGATTATTAGAGCCATCGAAGAGACCTAGAAAGTTATCAGCTAGTCCAAGTAGGGATTAATAGTCGATAATTTCGCTCCTAGGGGTAATATCGTCTCACTTTTGAATAAGAGTGACTCCGCTACCTCCACTAAATCAGGCACTTTAATGGCTGCGCCCTATGTTGCCGGACTCGCTTTGAATGCGATGGCCGTCTTCTCCGAGATAAGCATCCAGCTCCGTTGGTTCCTCCTAGAAGAAACTGCTACTATATACAAGGTCCCGGGTGACCTTCGTAAGTCGCCTACTTTACTCGTTAATAAGAACAGTAATAAGCAGGCGGCTTGCGCGCGCTAGGAGCCTAAGGATGCGACGGAGGACGATGCTTGCTAAGCAGTTGAAAGGTAGAAAACTGCTAAAGGAGAAGAAGCAGTTGATTAGCGCGGCTGCTGCCAATGGTGGATACTTGGACCATGAAGCAGGTGTGGAGACCCCTAGTGAAAGCGTGGGGGCGCCCCTGCGCACGCCCTGCCTGTCACGCTAATCGGAATAGCGGCACGATCATCCGTAGACAATACAAGCACGTCTTTTTGCTTAAGCTAGAGCTATACCTAGACGTTCAACAATCAATCAATCTCGTGTGGTAGGAGACTGAGGGGAGGTTCTCTAATCAGCTTCATGTTGCGCTTGTCTTGGCCTTCTAGCAATCGGGTGGGCTGCATCTAGCAGGGCGTAACGAAGCGCGGTGCGCGCTTGCATTTGCTTGAGTATAATATCTACAGTCGGAATTCCCGCCTCATTCCAGAGAATAACTCGTGGGGTGGTCTTCTAAACAAGTAGAACTGCGTGGCAGGCATTGTTCAGGATTATTTTGAGTTTTAAGAGTTTGAGAGGCTGGCCGGCCACATGACGAAATCATAGCTTGTGGAGCGGAAGCGATAGTAGGAGCAGGCAGCACCACTTTACAAAGCCAAGTGCGGGTGCTGCGGACAACCGTCTTACTTAGGCGGCAGCTGGCGAGAATCTGGGAGCTGTAGCGAGTTGATCAGCTTGTCTAGGCCCCATCTCGTCTTCCTCGAAAGGCCATGCTTCTCCCCAAGGTGCAGAGACACACGGTCGATATCGGCCTTTAAGTCGAAGCCACACTCTATACAGATAATAGCTGATTCTGGCTGATTTACAGTCTACTCTAGTCTTCATTCTCGCACGTGTTGGACTGTGCTCGGGCAAGTGCGAGCGAGCCTGGGTCTCTTACAGGCCCGGCATGGCGGTGTAATGTGATTGGCTGCATGGGACAATCTGGGAACGGGCCCCGTTTCGAGAGTCATTTGAACAAGGATGAGTTTACGGTGGTGATTAGCTCAGAAGTCGGAACGGGCCCCGTTACGGTAGACACTAATCGAGTAGCAAGGTCATCCCACCTCTCACCGAGCAAAGGTAGGCAGTGCATGATTTATTAACACAGAGGTTCCCCTTGCAATTATCATGCTCCATGTGATTAATATTATCTTTGACGGAGGAATTTGGGACTGCACGGTTTGTGAAGCTCATCTCGTTGCATAACAGGTCTCCAGCAGCATATTCTTTAGATTACATAAAGGCGTCTTACATAGATACTATATACTTCAAATAGAAATTTTAATCAGGATTCTGATTACTATTGTTTATGCTCACGAGTCATCAATGATTTGTCATACTTATAAGACTTTCAAGCTTTATCTACTATCTAATGGCTTGATGTGTATATAGCTAGGAGGATAAATAAGACAAGCCGCTCATGCAAGCTATGGCATTAAGATCCCTTGAATAACAACATCATATCGCCTTTCTAATATCATCATCAACTCGTCAATAATTCCTTTCTTTACAATGGTACGCAAGGTAGTCATTGCCCTAGCCGCCGCACTTTGTGCTGTTTCGACAACGGCGATAACTATTGATAAGAGGATTATTGGTGGAGAAGATGTTAAGGCTGGTGAATTTAAGTTTATTGTCAGTATTCATAAAAAGTCAGGGCGCAGTTCTTGCGCAGGCACTTTGTTGGACAGCACTACTGTTCTTACCGCTGCCCATTGCGTGAAACAAATCCACTATGTGAAGGCAGGAACGCTGGTAAATCCCACCTTTCATCCAAAAAGTTCTATCCTTGGCTACTATGGAGTCCAGTACCTCGGTGCCGCTGACAGAATGTTCACAAGCAGCACAAAGCTAATGATTATATAGAACAGCAACACGGGCGGAGTAGATGCAAACATTGCATCTAGCAAGCAGCATCCTGATTACGAATTATATGCGAAAGATGGTGGTTATGCTGTTAATGATATTGCGATCTTGAAACTGTCAACCGCTATTGAAAAGAGCGAGAACATTGACTACGCGACGCTGCCAGCGAACGGCTCGGATCCCGAGGCCAATTCCATCGCAGTAGCTGCAGGCTGGTAAGTGGCATAAGGCGCATCACGGTCGGGAAATACGCTAACCAATAGGCAAGGGGCGCACAAACCAGCATTGACGCCTTTGCACATGACAAACTTAGCAAGGTTGACATTCTTGTTCACACACGCCAGGACTGCGTCAATCTTATGCAAGCTGCGGTTGCCAGAGATACGATAGTATGCGCTGGTGGAGGTGGCAAGAACGTATGCGATAGAGATAGTGGTGGTCCTCTTATTGACCAGAAAACAGGCCAGTTGATCGGTGTCACCTCATTTGTCGCAGGGACTGCTGAGGAGGGAGAGTGCACCCTTCCCGCGGTGTACACCAGAGTCGGCAGCTACATCGATTTTATTGGTGAAAATCTTGAAGGATTGAATTCTTCTAGGCCAAAGGAGCAAACAGTCGTCAAGGGTAGCTACTCAGGAGATGAAGCCCTAACCAAGACTGTCGCTTTGTCATCTAACACCAAGGGCGACAAGGCAGAGACGCCTAATCCAGAAAAGGAGCCCGAGTCAACTGCCCTTGCTGTCAGCAACACTACTATTCCACCTGCCACACAGAACCCGGAGCATTGCGATGAAGTACGTATGCAGACATTCACACAGTGCCGAGAGGGGGATCCTGATAACTTCGACGGGTGCGTCGAGGAAGGCCAAGAGGCATTTGAGGCCTGTCGTTCTGATCCCAATTTTACTGCTCAGACGATGACTAAGGCCAACGAATATTCCACCCAGTCGTCCAAGTCAGGGGTCTAGCAAGTTCAAGAATTATTGCGTTTTTGAGATGTGTATTAGCTATAGTCATTGACAGATGTTGCACTACCCGTTCCAATTGTTGTATATCCACTCGATACTGTCCTCCCTGTCTTGCTCTATAGCTTCTGACTAGCCTTGCGTAGGCACGGCCGGAAGGACTGCAATGCGTTCTGCTTACCAGTTTAGTCCTGGCTAATCTGATGGGTAGCGAACTGGTTAGACGCTCTTGCCACCATAGAGCAAAGCGGGGCTCACTGAACTTCACCGACCGTGTCGGTGAAATCAGACGCTTTACCAGCGCCGTTTAGTGGCAAAGGAATGCAATGTGATAAGCGGCGTGCTGGCAAGAGGCTGCTTCGCCTCTGACCAGTACTGCAGCAATTCCAGGGAATTATCCACTTTTGAGTGTTCTAAAACTTTGCGTGAGGGTAAAATACACGCGGAGGTGCAACTTATATATTAATTTGAAAGGCATTGACCTATGCCGGCCACGAGTCGTGGCATCGAGCCAAAATAGCGTGCTCCCTCTGCAATGTATTCTTCTGTCAAGCCGCGAAAGTGTACATGAGGCGATGCCATGGAAGACTGTACAGTATCCTGCCTGGAAGTGACCTGTGTTTCCATCACGGTGCGGACTGGAGCGCCTCTTCGTGCAAAATTTGGAGGCTTATATCCGCGATAGTGCAGCTACACTGCTGCTGAGGCAACGCCGAATTCTCTTTCCACAGCCAAGTGAAAGCACACGGTGGACGGTGAAGGTTTCCGCTACTACATTTAGGCACGCTGCTCGGGCCAGCTGGAAAAACGGAAGAGCCACTGAGGCCTGAGTCCAGCGTTCATACCAGCCGAGAACTGCCAACCTTGACTCCAGGTTATTGCATGGTCAAGTCAAATAGGTTAGGGTGCGGTTGTATTGTAGGGCTCGAAGATAGTTATACTCGCTAGTGTTTTAGTGTACATAGCCAATACTGAATTGACGGTAGGCTCAGGTAAGGGCTGCTCAATATAGAAGGTGCTTGCCTAGTGTCGAAAATCCTGCTGAGACTAGCAGCCTGCTTGAATAAGATACACAGTCGGTAGCTCTGTGTGAAGAGAAGGAAGTCGCCTTAGCCCATTGAAAATTTTTGATGAGCCGCTAATTCGAAGCTGAATACTTTCATTCGAAATCGGACCGATTTTACGTGAAAGGTTAAAGTCTAAGCCTAGTGTCACCTATCACCGAGCACCCGAATAGACATGGAATCACTTTGTGATTCTGTAAGAAAGTCGTTATCGAAGGCTGTTATCCGCCAAAGGCCGGCCGAGCTTAAACTCCAGTCGGAGAACTCCATACAACGGCCAGAAGCTACCAAATCCTACTTAGCAATCCTCTTTGGGCTTGTCCCGTCGACCATCCTCCGCTATACTGATATAACCCCGATTTCGCCCCAACAACTGCTACTTGCTCCAACTGTCTAGTCTTTGCAGCAGTGAGCCTTGGTACCCCTCCAACAGCACTTGCCATCCCCGCACTTATCTCTGCCAATCTGGCGCCAACCAGGCTTGCAACGACCCTCGCAGAAAGGCGCACTACCTTCCCAGTAGCATGCGCTTATCTCGACTGGGCCCTCGATTTCAGAAATGTTATCCTGGACTTCTGCAGTGGGCTCAGGACTTTGGTCTGCTCCGGGTTGGTTTAGTCTTCTAGCCTTGTAGCGGACGACTTGGGGTTGCTCAAACTCACCTACTGTGGCAGCCATGGCCATAGCAGCAAAACTGATAAGAATGGCGAAACGCATTATAGTGTGGGATTATAGACGGTGTATGTAAAGGCGAATTTGAGTTGAAGGATGGAATGAAAGTAATAGATTTGGCTGGGAAGAAACTCACTTTAAGTAACGGCGGAACCGTACATACGGCTTTAAGATTTTCCTATTATCTATACGTCAAGGTCAAATCCGCAGCGTTTTTTACTGTACTGTTTTGACTCTGTCGTAACTAGCAGCCGCACACAGCAGTACTGGTAGCGATCTCGCCAGGTTGATCTCGGTACCTAGCCACCGAAGCAGAAACACATATCCTTCTCGGGCAGAAAGAAGACTGTCAGACTATGTCTCGAATGCACTGTGATGCAAAATTTGAGCTCAAGTTTCAATCGCAGAATAGAGGTGAGAGCCCTATTGGCTGGAAGCCACCGGGCGTAATAAAACAACGTATGAATCTCTAGCTTTGCAAAGTGTCTTAAACATACATACATCGTCGCATTATTCTGCTGATGTTCGTTGAAGAGTCAAGAAGCCATGTATTTACATTGAAACAAGCTACGCTACACAATTTTGAAGTCTGGCCGATCATCCGGGGGATTTGGCAGCGTTCGATTGGTCGTAGCTAGTGCTGGCGACGGCCCGTAGCCGTTGTTTGGCTCACATTACACCGCCAGTCTCACATCCCTGGCGTGTCTACCCACATCAGCCTCAACATGTGTTTTAACGGCTAGAGTGTGTAGGTGAAAGCAATCGCTTACGAGGGACCGGAGATGGAAAGACGAAGGAAAAGGTTCTCAAGCTAGCTTAGGGAGATCGAGACTCCTTGCAAGGCTGGTAGTAAAGATATGTCATATAATCAGGTGTCATCTTAGAACTGATGGCATCTTTTTGTTTTCATTCCTCCTTGATGTTATGGCTATTTATTTCTCGATTTAAGAGCTCTCAATAAATGTCCTTGGCTGATCAAGGTTGTATAGCTAAGACAATGGAGAAAGTTAGCACCTATGTAGTAGCTGAACTAAGACGCAATTTCAAGCAGCTGTCTCAGACAAAGCAAGGCAGCAAAAACCTCACCGCAGGGCTCAGACAAGGTGCTGTACATGTAGTTTATTTCGGTCGTCAATCGAGTCGCGATCCCTTCCAGCCGAACACGACAGCCCTTGCCATGTTCGAATCTGGTGTGGTGCTACAGCATTGACAGAAACTTCGAATAATGTATCCTCGAACTCATTTGGTGAATCTAAGATGTACTGAGCCAATAAATGAATTCATTCAGACGTGTCAGTTCCAAGGATCGAGACGTCGCTGACTCATTTGCGGTTCTACAGTAAATAGCCACCGGGGTCTGAGACAGATCAACACTCCAGTCTAATGCCAATGGGTACTCCGTAGAGGTTGAACTTCATAACGCTTGCCAGTCAGGTGATTTCCTTCTCCAGGAGGCCAGCGCTTAGACCCAGATCTTCAATGCAGCTCTGTCTGAAGGTCCAAGTCTCTCCGATCCCGGAAGGCCAAGGAAGATACTTGGAGGAACACCGCCATGATACACAGAATAGAACATAAAACAACTGCCGGTATATTACGTCTACTGGAATTTTCGGTCTAAGTTTTTGTCTGTCTCAGACTTACACAAGACATATATTAAATAAATTAAGATTTTATATTAGTCTTTATAATTAAAAAATATTTATAAAAAATATTTATAATATTACTTTAATTATATATATAACGAACATCTAATTTAGAAAAGTAAATATAAATATAATTAATTAACTAGTTTTTAGCTTATATAATTATATAAAAGTCTAAGACTTAGGTAAAATAAGAGGTTTTTAAGATCCTTATATAACTATTAATAAGTAAAATAAATAAATATATCTTTTTAGTATAAATATTATTAAATAACGTAAAAGAAATAATTAAAATAATTTTTAAATAACTAATATACTTATAATAAAATAATAAAATTAATTAAATCTTTTATAAATAAATGTTTTAAAGATATATTTATATTCTTAAAGAAATAGGTTTTTAATTCTACTATATATTAAAAATAAGACTAAATATAGCTTATATAATTATTTCTTATTTTAGATCTACTTTTAAATTTAATAAGATTTACTTTTAAGCTTTAAATATATT